TTTTTGCATTATTATTGACTACTAATATTAAAACATGTCTCTTTCAATTATGGCTCAAAGTTCATCTAGACATGTACTGTGACTACTTCAGTTCGTTTATTTCTCTTACAGAAAACGCTACGTTCAGATAAACTGATTTAACTTTCTGGGAGTTCCTTACCTGGATAGTTGAGCATAGATCAAGATGCCTTTAATGACCTCTCCTTCAGCCTGAATTAATAGTGGAGTGTAAGTTGGTCATTCATTAGGATGTCTCTTGAATTTTGTGACTTATTGGCTTAAATTGCAGGTTACTCTTATTTAAAGACCATAAGACTGTGTACTGGGGTCAGTGTTGGTTACATGGTCTTTTAAATGGAAATTTCTTTAGTAATTTTTTATCTTTGAATGTAGAACAAATGGACTGAATAGAAGCTGTTATCTCAGAGGGAAAGGCAAGTAGATCTGTCGAGATAAAGTTTCTTTCATGTGGCCAGTCTCAGAGATTTGTGACGGCTTCATTATCAGAACTCGGACTTGAGAGCTGGAGGATAACGTGAAACCCGACTGCCTCTTTGTCTATGTTTTCACACTGCTGGACCCTGCATTGATTTCTCCCTCTGGAAATGTTGGATTGGACTATTGTGATACACTTGACTCCCCCCCCCGTGCTTTTAAAAATTGCAGCAATTTCTTTCCATCATTCAGAATTTGTCCATTAGACTTTCACAAGATTTCCAGAAGAGCTTCAAACTGTTAGAGCAGGACCTTTAGGAACATGCATGAATTAAAATCAAGATGTCTAAAACCCTTATTTTTAGCTCCTTGTGTATATAAGTGTTGGCATGATTATTTTGTTTGTGTGTCAGAAGCGTCAAAGTGCAGAAAGTAGAGTCTTCAGAATTCCTGATGTTTTTCTGTTAGTTCCTAGGGTGTCTTACTTTGGAAGATGACTGTGTGAACACTTTTACTTTAACATATGTTGACCCCAAAAAATAACTGCTGGGGAGCGGCGTGCGCTTCTACAGTATGACGCATGTGAGAGAGCTGCATCCATAAATATCCATGCCTGGTTTACAGAGACTCACCTCCATCTGCATTCTAGTTGGGCTTGTTCTCAAACTTCATCTGTGCTCCAAAGTTTTCTTTTTGTTACTTATGCTGACTTTGGATATGTGAGTATCTCAGCATGAAATTTAAAATAATCATGAACTGACTTTTCTTCACTTGTCTAAATCAGTTTGATAATAGTTGAAATAGTTGCTGTGTTGGAATAATAATTTAAATGGAACAGTAAATTGTTTGTACCTATAATTAATGATAGAAAACACAAGTTACCATATGCCATAATAACATGGCCTGTCTAAAAACACAAAGCAGCATTTTAAAAGGCTAAAAACACTAGCTGCCAATTCCTTAAACTGGGAAGTTTCTATTGATGTTTTACTGACATGTGACTACTAACCACATGACGTTAAGTTTCCCCCATTTTGGTCACATGACAAGCTGAAGAAGTGAAGAAGGGCCCAGTTACACAAGACATAGAGTGGTCCGCAACCATGGGTCATGGGGAAATGAAAAATGAGGCATGACTCCCATTAGCTGTGAGTGATTGCTGGAGACTTTATAGCAGTCACTAGGAAAATGATTGCTAAAGCTTGATCGCATATCCGCCCACCCACCAGCAGCCACCTGTTGCTGGGAAAAACAAACTATATTCCCCAGCTGATTGGAGAAAATATTTTTGTGATTGCTTTTGTTGCTAACACTTTGTTGTACTTTAAATGGAGGTAATGGACTTGTCTAGAAACACTGTCCAGCTACTCTGAGCTGTAGTGCAACACAAACAGGAAATGGAAACGGTTTGCCTTCAAAATAAAAGCTGCACCTTTACTACCACTTGGCAAGTAGTTGCTAAGTGTCTACAGACAAAAATGAAAAACTATAGGCAGCTGTGTCAGTCTAAGATATTGGTGCAGCGGCTGTTTTGCAACCAGTTTTACCCAGTGATAGCAAGCAGCCTCTAGAACCATTGCCAAAGCAGTTGGGGAATATGCATTTTTCACCTGCAATTGGTGGTTGTATCATGTCCAGTCACACCTACATGTACAATGTAGGTGTGATCTCATACAAACTAAATTTTGGCAAAAAACAGTGACTTGTAGTCTGAAGTCATGTTCCTTCTCCTTTGTTCTTTTCCCTTCCTCCAGTTTCTTTGAGAACATGAGTCGAATCATCGCACCAAACTACGTTCCCACAGATGCAGATGTTCTGAGAGTCAGAGTGAGGACCTGTGGAATCATTGAGACACAGTTTCAAGTTGATAAAACTGTGTTTCGGTAAGACACAAAGTCCAAATACGACAGTGCAAAGATAAAAATATGATATAAGATAAAAAAAATATGAGAAAAAAATCTGAATCACATTTAAGATTTACTGTTTGCCACTCAATCTCCCCTGTGCTCAGTGAATATTAAAACTATTTTACCTCACTATACTTTCAAGAGACGGTTGAACTCTTTGCATGTTTGCATAAACCTTTGTTATCACTGAATGAACTCTTTTATTCCCTTAACACTCTTCCAACACAAACAAAATTAGGAAATCTGGATTAAAAATCGGCCATTAAACTTAAGCCTGATGAATCAAATCCCTGCTCTCACACACTGCAATATGCTGCTGTGTACAAATATAGACCAAAACTGCACATGCAGCTGAAACAACACTCATGGACTATTTAAATAACACGGGCTGTTATTTAAATAGCAGCCCGTGTGCATTAGTCAATGCACTACAAATATTTTGTTACAGAGATTAGAGGTCTTTCATCTTTAGAAGATAACATTTTATGTAGTTATAAAAGGACTCTAGATATTGATGCATAACCACTAAAGACCAATCTGATGACTTATGTCAGGAATGTTGTAGTTGCACATAAAAAGGAATAAAATATACCAGTGGTGCTTTAAAGAAAGCTGTGATTTGTTGTTGTAGATTGTGCGCTTGTGCACAAATGCATTATTGGACAGCCGAGTAATGACTGAGTCAAGGAAATGGGCATCGAGAGCGCCATAAACTGCAACAAAGGCATCCAGAATTAAAGTGGTGGAAATTACTGGGTCATAGTTTTTATGAAACTGCCTGAAGGCTGATAGTTTCAGAGATTTTTAACACAAAACCAATGTAACTTTAGCACACTGTGCTAAATAGTGATAGATTATCTACTTGTGACTGTTTCTCAAGTTATTTGTTGAAAAGTTAAGAAATGAATCAATATTTCCTGCATATCAGTTTGAGGTTATCGAGATGCACTCTGTCCAACCTCATGAGCAATTCTGAGTGAAGGCAGGTGTTTTCCTGGCAATGAATCAGTCTTGAAATATGGAGGACTTTACTCTATATTCCACTCAATATTCCAAAAGTATTAGCAGAAATATAGAGAAAGTTAGCTATGACTCACTGAAATCCCAACTTTCTTTCCCATAACTCTTGTTTTTCAGAATAACCAGGCATTCATGATGCCTCCTGCCTACTTTCCCTTCACTGTGATTCTATTTGGTCTGTGGGTCACAAACAGAATCATACCAAGACTTGAATATGAATATTTTATATACTGTAGCTGCTTCGAGGACCGCAGTGTCACCCTTCAGATTTTTTCCTGTTTTTCTTGGTAAAATATGAATAATATGACGTTACTAAATTATAGTTTGTAAACTTTAAATTTGATATCTGAATGCACACAATGAAAACTGAAATATTGTTTAGATTCAATTCTCTGAACTTGTTTATCGCACAGTGCTTTTGTGTTTTCAACCAGTTTACGAGGTGACATTGGTTCTACTAGCTGCTTCTAGCTTTTTACTCAAAATGCAGTTGCAATGGACGCAGGAAAAAATCTCACCAAATTAAGGAAGCATACTGCTTTTTGTAGTAGGTGATATGATCTCACTGTTGTTCAGTGGTTTCATTTAAATTTATTTCATTAAATTCATTTTACTTTTCTTGTCTTGTGTTCTGTCTTTAAATTGATCTTAAATGCTTTTTTTGTTTTATAATGAATATTTTGTTGCCCTGCAAATATGGCTAAAGCAAACTGAGTCAGTCCCATCTCTTTTGCTGAACTCAGTGTTTAAGTTGTCTATATCTAGTTCTGATCCTGTTCTTGTACTTGATGGGGAAAAGCCATAAAGAGCCCTCTTTCCATTATAAATGATGGCTTTTCTGTCCTCACTACATAAATACTGCTGTCAAATGCCACTGTTAAAACTTATTGTCACCCAGCTTGTTAACGCTTACTCTTGACCAATGGGGTAAATGCTTCATTGTCTCTGACATGAAGACGGCAATCATAGCACCCCCAAAATGGGAACTCATTACCTGTGTCACCAAGACCCTTCACTTCACTTGGTGCAGAGTCTTGTTGAGATAAATTGCTCCAATAATTTAAACGGGTGAAATGTTATTTCTGAGTGTCGAGCACGCTGCCGTATGAATTGGGTGCTTATCCAGAGCTGCACAATGAGGCAAGTCAGCTGCTGGTTTGATTTGTAGTGAGACACTTCCTAACTTAAAAAAATGAAGTAAAACTACTTATACAGATTGTTGCCTCTGCTTCTCCTAATGAACATATTTGTATAATGGCATTCCTTCTAAATAAATTGTATCATTTCTAAATATGAAATGTTCTCAGGCGACTTTATTTCAGAGCATCAAGGCCTTAGCAATTTAATTTTGAGCTATAAAATATGTAAAAGGTAGTGATTACTCTATTTCCCAACTTGTTTTTTTTTTTCTAAATAAAGCTTAAAGTTTTTTCTTGTTGACAGGCTGTATGATGTCAGAGGCCAGCAAAGTGCGAGGAGGAAGTGGCTAAGCTGCTTTGAAGGTATTCAAGCTGTGGTGGCTGTTGTGGCCCTCAACAGCTATGATATGACACTACTGGAGGATCCTTCTGTGGTATGTTGTCACAAACTGTGATTAGAAATCTCTACAGCCAGTGGTTTTTGCTCAGTTGGAGTTAAAATTGCCGCTTTCCTGATTAGAATCGGCTGCAAGAAAGTCTTGAACTTTTTTCATCAATCTGCATCCACACGGTTTTCCAGCAAACCACCATGGTAAGTTTTTGCAGTTTGAGTTTCTTTAACCCTTTATTGGATCATGTTCTTCCTACCATTAATTGATTAAAGGGTTCAAATGTTATATTTGAAAGTTGGATATTAGAGTTGTGCCGTGTTTTAAACTTTGTGCGAATGCCTGAAGGACTGTTTTGTTCATTTCTAGTATACATATTAGGCATACAAAGTCTGAGATGCAGGATATTTCATTTAGTTAAAGAAGCTGCGAGGACTGTTTCAGAGACGCTGCGTTTAGTTTTCTTTCATACTGAGAATGTCAAATTGTTTTTATGAGCAAAAATCAGCCATCAGCACCTGAACTTAATACAATTGAAGGATTTAAATTTTCTTTCAATTTGAATAATTTCTGCATGATTGTGTGTTAAAACTGAACAACCAATTATAGTGTTACACGAGAAATGTGAAGAAAATCTATTTAGATGGTTAGAATTATGACTTCATACTGACTGTAGCTGATTTGGATGGATCTGAACTTGCATGTCTTGGCATACCGGTTTTTGCATACCAGTGATTTTAATGCTGCTGAATGTTCAGATATTTTTCTTTCTTTAAAATGGACCTCGAGTGTACGAACAGTTGCTTTTGTAGATATTTGAGACTGAGAGTCATGTTGTTGAAAATCCCAGTGAAGAGGTTTCAGCAGGAATAATTTTATTATTAACACTCCTTATTTCTCTCCTACAGGTTCTGTTCATGAACAAAACGGACCTTTTCCGGGAAAAGATCCTAAAATCTGGAAGACACTTGAGACTTTACCATTCTAGCTATAAAGGTACATTATAGAAACCCTCCACCCACTTTTCTTTTCTAAATGTCTTTTTAAGACATATGAAGGAATTAAACCTTTATGAGATTTTATTTTATTTTTTTGTGAACTACAATTCCAAGAGAATTAATTTGCAACACAACACACCCACACTCTCAACCGCTAATATTTAGCTGCTTGCTAATGCCAATATCTAACCATCCAATCACATGATAGCATTTTATTGCATTTAGTATGTGTACATGGTTAAGACTTCATGCTGAAGTTCAAATTGAGCATCAGAATCAAGAAGAAAGTTGATTTGAAGTGACAGAGTATTTCAGAAACTGCTGATCTTCTGAGATTTTCACACACAATTTTTAAGCTTCACACAAAATGATCTGAAAAGACAAATTATCCAGTAAGCATCGGTTCTCTGGGTAATGTCAGAGGAGAATGAGCAAACTGCTTCAAACTGCTAGGAAGGAAAAGAACTTCAAATAACTGTTATTTAGCAAAGACGTGCAGAGGAGCATCTCTGAATGCACAACATGCTTGCACATGGGGTCATCAAAATTGGACAATTGAAGGTTGGAAACGATGCCTGTCTGCGTCTCGATTTCAGCTGCAAAATTGAGATGGTAGGGTCAGCATTTGGCATTAAAAAACATGAAAGCCTTTTAATGTTCAGGCTGGTATAATGGTGTGGGGAATATTTTCTTGGCACACTTTGGCCCCTTGGTAATAATTATGTACTGTTTAAGTGCAACAGCCTACCTGGGTATTGTCACTAAATGTCCACGGTGTATCAATCCTCTGATGGCAGCTTCCAGTAGGATGATATGTCAAACTGGTTTCTTGAACATTACACTGAGTTTACTGTATTCAAAAGACCAGGTCTCAATCAATAGAACACCTATGGGATGAGGTGGAACAGGAGACTAACATCCTGGATGTGTAGCTGACAAATTTGCAGCAACTATGTGATGCTGTCTTGGCCACATTTCAGGTCATTTAAAGGAAGCTCTTAGTCCGTTTGGGGATTATGAAGAAAAACAAAAAAATGCCTGGTTTGAAATGTACTGATTAACCTTTGCGCAGTTAATTCTTTTTCTCCTGCTATCATAGGTGCTGATGGTGATGTGGATGCTGCAGCCCACCATATCACTGCAATGTTCTCAGCATGTAACAGCAACCCTGACAGGCCTGTGTACCACCACTTCACCACTGCCATAGACGCCACAAGCGTACGGGTGGCATTTCATGTGGTCGTTGATCAGATTATGAGGGGGAACCTAGAAGCTGTTCAGCTTGTTTAAGTCTTCTGGAGACTCTTTAAATTGTTTTAAGTCATTCATTGCTGTAATTTCTCTGTAAATTCTCATGTGTGCTTTTGTCTTTTAGAACTTCAAAATCTGATGAAGTAACACTATTTAATTGTTCTTTTTCCTTTCTGACTTTATAACATTTTAAATAAACATATGCTTTTTAAGCATGTCTGATCATTTTATAATTTGGCTCTTTTCTTCTTACCCTGTCTTTTACTGTTAAAAACCCAAAAATATACATGCAACAACATTTCGTTGACAACAGAAGGTTAACTGCAACTTTGGAAATGTTTAATTTTAAATGTTGACATTTAGTACCACTAACTTGTCATTGCAGTGCTTGAGCTAAGGCATTTCAGCTTGCAATTTTGGGTGCAAGCAAAAAATCACACTGTAATACCTCAGCAGACTGAACAAGGATGAAATACTTTATTCAAGAAAACTCAAACATTAATACATTTCTTTTCAAGCGTAAAAATTTAGAGCAGGTTTATTCTAGTCAAATGGTTCATAAGAGTAGCGTCTCTAGTGCAACACCTATTAAAATGTCCAGTTTTAAAATGTCAGTCCTGCAAGAAGTATGCTTGGTCATCTATCCCAGCTGTTGGCTTTGCTGCTTAGTCTGCTTCACAATCTGACGAGTCCAGAGAGAGGAAGACATCGGCTTTGCACCGAAATGAAGCCTTGATGTCCTGGATGCGTTCACAGCTCTGCAGGTTTGGTGTAATGTCTTTTATACACACAGGCTGTTTGGAGAGAGGAAAAAGACAAATGGTACTGCATGAGAGAGCATCCGAAATCAATAACCTTATATATTCTGGAAACCTGAGTAAGTTGACATAAGATTTTTATTTTTTATTTTTAAGGAAGTACCATTGAGGTATTTTGCACGTAACATTTACACAAAATTTAAAGTGGAAAAAAGTGCTTAAAAGTTGTTGCTCTAAAAATAAACATTTGGAAAATTGTAGATTACAGACTGGCACAGTTAAGCTTTAAATTTTTATATTTTGCTATAAAATGAGTTTTTTTTTTTTTAAACTATTAACTATTATTTGTGCTTAAAAAAGTACAAATAAAAGAGTCTAACGGTGCTGAATGGACAGCTCCTTCCTTACTGAAGTGACGGTAACAGATTATCATAAAAACAATACTTTTCATTTTTTCCCACTAGATTTTATTTATGTTTGTCTGTAAGCGTGCTATCGTTAGTCGAAAAGAAAATTAGATTTTTAAAATTCTTTTTAAAAAGCGACCACTCACCATCGTCTTCAAGAAGGAACTGGACGCCGGGATCTCAGAGAACACGTTGTTTGTTGCGGACTCGTCAGTGTCTGCATGGTGCGGCTCCTCTCTCCTCACGTAAGCTGATCTCCGAATACCGGACAGCAAACCGGACGCCCTGCCTACGGAGTAGTAGGTTGGGCCGGCCACCTGCTTGTACCATGCCTCCGTTGGACTGCAAGCGACCAGCACTGAGATGACTACAATGGGGAGCGCGAGTTTAGGAGACCTCTTCATGACGAGCACTGACGCTTGAATGTTCGCACCTCTACTCTAGAGCAACAAGTCCTATTGGAAGTGACCGCTCACTGCTTGTATCCTCGTTTTCCGAGTCTACTTATAGCGACCCGTGATTATGCAGCTAGTTTTCGTCACGGAAAGCTGCGCGATCATTGATATACTATAGGCTAGATTGCGCTTTTGGATGGGGTGTGTTTGATGCGTGTATTTCCAGGGTGACGCAAATTCTCGGTTTATTTCTGTAGGTTTTAATCAAAGGGATTTAACAAAATATGGTAAATTACAGGAATTTTTAAAAACATTGTCCCTCCACTTACACAGGCTGCAAAATAACTGGGCAGTTGACCATGTTAATGTCCAAATGTATGGCCTTTTATTTCAACATTAGTTAATTCCGTAGGTGTTTATATGTCAGTATGGAAATCCCTCTCATTGTGTTATTGCGATGGAAAGTAGTGATAGAAACTGCTGCTGTGCAGAACAAAATACAAAGCCTTTAGTCTGTTATAAATACAGAGTTAAATGTGCTGCCTGTTGTGTATCTTTGCGTATAAACAATTCATGGGGCCAGTCTGAGAACTCCTCTCACCAACTCATCATGGCTAGTGTGATCTTAAAGACCTTTGGTTGCATTTTCTCAAATGGTCACATTTCAGTTTTTGCAAATATTTAATAGTTATACCAGATCCAGACTGACTACTGTTGTTTCTTAACTGAAGCCCCTGTGTAACAACTCACCTATGATAAAGGCTGAAGCTGAATTATATGTCATCATAGAAACTCAAAATAAACAACAGACTTATTAAAAAGACATCAGATAAAAAGAAAGATGATCAATTTGGATTTTCTTAGACATGAGGAATGCCTAAAATCTCCACTCAAGACAGGCCTGCTGAAATCTAAATACAGATGATTCACCTACAGTGAACAACAGGTGACAAATCAGTCTTTGCTGGAAAACATCTAGAAAAAGAAAAGTCTGCTCAGGTTTGAAACATCATTCTTTGAGTGGATGAAACCAAGATCATCTTAAGGAAAGGACGGGCTTATCATTCAAAACATATCACATCATCTGTTAAACATGGTGGATGTGACTTGATGACACAGTTTGAACTGATCGATCAGTATTCTGCTAATTATCATTACAATTTACATATATATATATATATATTTATTTATTTTTTTTTATATAAGCTGTGCATTATGTGGGTAGAATTCATATACTTTATATGACCTTTAAATATATAACTATCCATGTATTTGACAATAAGGAAGATGATTATCATGAGAATGATAGGGGCGACCGTGGCTCAAGAGCTGGAAGTCATGTAATCGGAAGATTGCCGGTTCGAGCCCCGGCTTGGACAGTCTTGGTTGTTGTGTCCTTGGGCAAGACACTTCACCCGTTGCCTACTGGTGGTGGTCAGAGGGCCCGGTGGCGCCAGTATCCGGCTGTGGCTACAATGTAGCTTGCCATCACCAGTGTGTGAATGTGTGTGTGAATGGGTGGATGACTGGTTGTGTAAAGTCCTTAGGGACTAGAAAAGCGCTATACAAATACAGGCCATTTACCATTTACCATGAGAATAGGATGCCAATTATAACATTTACAGGGTGTTCCCTGCCTCTTGCCTTATAGTAGCTGGGATAGGCGCCAGTTCCCCCGTGACCCTGAACTGGATAAGAAGAGAATAGATGGATGGATAATGATTAAATAATGGTTATTATTGTTGTTAATAAATCATTTGAACATATTTTTCATTCCATTTTCTCTCTGTTTTTCTCAAGCTGGTTACTAACAAAAGTGACATACGTATTAGTTCTTGTCAAGCGTTATGTGTTACATATACTCACCTTCCCCATTATCCCCCTGTGCTAATGTCTGAAACAACGTGTTTTTATTACTGCAATATTAAAGATAAAACATTAAAAATGTGTGTAATGATCATTTGAAAGAAGATAAATGCAAAAGTGGCTTTATGCTAGGCTACAGATGGTAAAGATCCACAACGCAGCTGCAAAACAACCCAAAAATATCTGAAGACAAATAGATTGGTCTTAAGTGGCTGAGTCAATAACCTGATCACAAGCATGTTATTCATTTACTGAAGACAGAACAGAAGGCAGAAAGACTCACAAAGGAGCAACAAGTGAATGCAACTGCAGCAAAGGCCTGGCAGAGCATCTGAAGAGAGGAAACACAGTAGACAGCCTGAGTAATTCTAGTAAAGCTCTTATGAAGTTCCTATGATCCTGAAATGCAGAAAAAGCTGGTTATCTAATCATGTCAGCCTCTCAGTTCACAGCTAATGCAACTGTAAGATTTTAGTCTTACACCACCCCTTCACCTCCACACTTTATTTTTCATAATCACTCAAGCCAAAAAGGCAAATAAATGAAACATAAACCAAAACAGTGTCTTATGGACAACGACGCAATGTGCACATTGTTAAACAAAAAATGATTAAAAAACGCAGCTCCCGATTGCTACCTCTGCTCTAACTCTGCTTTCACCACAACAAAGCAGCATCAGACTGTCACGCACATGCACAGGGGATGGGGTTTCTCGGTACTGCTCTCAGTTAAACAGCAAGAGATAACGTGTTTCTTGAAACTGCGGCTTAGATGACCTGATTTTAAGTCTCTTTTTTTTTTCTTTACAGGAAGCAGTGTGTACAGTATCTAGAGTACAAAATCAGTAAAGAAGAAAAAAAAGAGGAGATGTTCATTTTGAGAACAAAACATCAAATGCAAACTTGCAAATGTCTCTTCTTGTGAGCATTTTAACATCAGGAAGGAGTTTCAAGTATGTATGAAGAACACAGACACCTGACATGGATGTTAATGTTGCTGTTTCTGACAGGTAAATGCAGCACTTGTATCTTCTTTAATGTTTTACAAGAATGCTAAACGATTACAGCTATCGAGTGAATCTGTCTCTTTTAGGTGTTCTCTGCAATATGTGGAAAGTGAAGCATCAGCAGCGTCTTATTTGTGCAGTCAAAGGCTCCTCAGTCATTTTTCTTTGTTCATTTCAAAATCCTGACAACCAAACAGTGAGGAGGGTCCTGTGGGGTCACCTACAGCCTGCTACTTTAAAGGCTCGCTTAATTTCTAGCAGTTTACGAACTCTTTTCACAAGATTCCAGTACATCGGAAACACACATCACAATTGTTCTTTGAAAATACACCAGGTGGAGTGTAGTGATGTAGGGAGATACTTTGTCAGATTTAACACCATGTCTAATAGACCTCATGAAGAAAATGCCCCAGTACTGAAGGTTGTTGGTAAGTTTTTGTTGCTGCTGTTGTTGTTCTTTAAATAAATAAAAGCTTTTAACAGTTAAGATTAAAATGTCGCTTTGCTTTTTCAGATTTGACTATTTTTATGTCAAAACCTTCTGTAAAGGAAGCAATAAGGGAAGGCGACTCTGTAAATCTCACCTGCATGAACAGTTGTGATGGTGGTAAGATTTCATCTGCGTACACCTGGTTTAAGAATGGAGAGCCATTACACGAAGGAGCAGCTCTTTATTTAAGAAACGTGTCCCCTACAACCTCTGGAAACTACACTTGTTCTCTAAAAACACACTTAGGATCAACTTCAAGTGTCCTGGGTATAGATGTTGAATGTGAGTACAAGACACAAGATCAGTACTTTAAGGTAAAAAGGAATAATTAATGATGCTGAAATAGTAATGAGTAATGATCTCCTACATTCTGCCTTTTAGCATCTTAAATCTCTGAACTGTTTATAGCATTGAGTAACCTGATAATGGGAAATGTCTAAGAATTATTAGTGAGAAGTAGATCAGTGAATTACACTATTTATACTGTTATATACTCATTGAGCTATTACGTCCCAGAAATGCACGGGGGCTTTTAATGACTGTCTAATTGGTATGATATTTCTGCTCAAGCTTCTGGGACTTATTTTAAGAATAACACATACGCAAACTAGCTTTAATGTGCACACTAAAATACATTAATTCTGATGCAAATATTCTCATGCAATATTTATTTAGTCTTAATTAAAACTTCAGTCTTTTCTTATTATAAGCTAAACTGCTATTGTTACCTACACATAACAGATCTAAGCTGGATGTGAACCCCGGTCTCTAGCGTGAGAGCCGTGGGCTTTATATGCTGCCATCAGTTCTAGTCACCTACTGCTGACTCATAGGGAGTTGAGTAATGTGCAATTACGTCCAAGGATAATTTCTGGATAATTACACAGTTTTTGTGACTTTGTCACTGCACACCAGCACAGTGGGTTTTAAATTAAACAGGCAAGATGTGATCACAGTCCAGATATTCAGCTTTAAATTAAGGATCTGGAGCTTAGTGTACTCCTAGTGCTTGGATAATTGGGAAGGCTGCTTCTTATGCGGTCCTTTGCATATTTCTAAATTTTCACACTGATAACTGACAACGATAACGCCCAAATAATAAAATTAATTTTCAGATGGCCCTAGGAACACCACAGTGCTTGTCCAACCACCTTTGGGGGCAGACCCTGGCAGCGACTTTACCCTGATTTGCAGCAGTCATGCAAACCCCCCCGTGGAGAATTATACGTGGTTCAGAATAGCTGCAGGTGATTCTGTAAATGTTGGACATCAGCCAGTGTTCCACCCTAGGGACAGTGACCAGTATTTATGCAGTGTCACCAACAAACACGGAAGTCAAAACTCTTCTGTTGTCACTTTAAACATTAAAAGTAAGTAGGTTTGAGTGGCTGGTGCTATTGGATGCTTTCTGACTCGTATCAATAACCATTAAAAGTTTGCTTGGCTCTGGCATTACTGAATTAAAACAATGAATTTGTTTTACAGAAAACTGGCCAATGTTTTGGGAATACGTACTTATCATTGTAACAGTTGCTGTAGTTCTGATTGTGACCACTTTTATTGCTGTTAGAAGGTGAGTGTTACCTAATTTTGAAATGTCACTAATTTTGTAACACATCGCCTAAATTCTGTTTATCTTTCAGACTTAACAAAAAGCAAATGAGGTCACCGGTGGAAAGTGGTGAGAAAGAATCGCAGGTGCTACTCTTACTGCTGGACAATCATTAATTAATAACAGAAGTTCAAATTTAGAGTTCGGTAGAAAAAAATGAAGATTGTTGTTAATTGTGCGTTGCTTCTTTGTGACTTTATCTAGAACACAGGTCGTGTCAGCAGGCTCTCAATGTGTGATGATAACCAACCACAACATCAGGATCAGAGTGAAGGAGAAACCACTGAAATCGTCTACGCGGCTGTTTACTTCCACAACAAAAGAAAGCCAAACGCGTGAGATATTTCAACAATATAAGATAAAAATATATTATTTATTGTACTGGAGGAACATGCTGATAGAATGTATTACGTGCAGGGAGCAGCAGAAGAACACCCAAAGTGAAGATGTCATTTACAGCACAGTGTGCAGGTAAGACTCAGACAGTATACCACTACTACTACTAATAATAATGATAGTAATAATAACGATAATATGGGAAATTGTGTATCTGTCAGGAGCTATGGACACTTCATTCTGTTACATGCTGTCATTTCTGTATCATTACTTAGACCAGTTTGTGCAGCTTTGAACCACCCACAGAACCGACAGGAGGCAGCTGGCCCAATATATGCCTCGCCTAAAAGAAAACAGCCTCCATATACTGAAGAGGGAGCCTGTTTGTTAAAGGGGTCAAAGTTCTAGTGACTTCACACTGGGTGAACTTGTGAGGAGAGGAACAGTGACCTGCCCACTCTCCCATACTGCCCATTCATGTCCCAAGATTTGATGTTGGGGTTCGAGATCTTCTGCTTGATTCCAGCTCCAGGTTGAATTCTTTGTCATTCTATATTATTTATTATTTTAGTGTGTTGTGAGTACTGTATTTTATTTATGCATTCCCCCCATTTTTCACTATTGTTAATGCTCTGCATTCTCTTGTGTTAGCATTAACTTCGGTGTTTGTCTTGTTTGTTCTCTTTTCTGTTTTACTGGTTTTACTGCTTCCTATCTGTCCTCACCTGATTTCCTGTTGTGTAATCGCTAATCAGCCCTTGGTGTGTATGTATATTCCTTTGCTGTGTTGTGTCGGTCTTGTTCAGTTACGTTCCTGATGGTACGCTGTACTGTTCTAGTCTCCTTTGTGCCTTTTGGATGTTGCTATTTGGAGTTTGTATTGGATTTATTTCCTCCATTAAAGCTCACTTTCTGTTGAACATTAGGTCTCCTGCGATTGGGTCTTCAATTACTCAAACAACACAATTTTAGATCTGAGGTAGCAGGTCACAGGGGGAATTTAGAAAGAAGAAGAAGGAGGTGTTTTCACATTACTGTAATGAACTCCAGTGGATAATAGTAATCAGAGGCAGTACTATACTGTCAATATTCCATTAGTATGTGATGTATAATGCAAAGAAAAAGAAAACAGACAAATGAAGTAGGAAAGAAAAGTAAAGAGCAGTGTGTGAATGCTTTTTTAAAAGAACTACAAATTGTTCTTGTCTATGATTCGACTTAAAGAGACAACAGTGACAAATTCTCAGAAGTTCTTAAACTTCAAGAACTCAGCCACTCACCTCGCTATCAATTATAGAAATTCTCTGCAGTTCAGATCGGTTTGTCACTGTGGACATGATCAGTCAGTGCGTTCATCTATCAGTGGACTGACCTCCTTACCCAGGGTAGGAGGCAGGGTCAGAAATAAGTAACCTAATGTGACCCATGTGGCCTATGGATTGTGGTAGGAAGTCAGAAAGACCCACACAGACACAGAGAGAACATAGAAACTCCACACAGAAAAGCCTCAGTGCGGATTTAAAACACGGATCTGTGCACCATGCCACTGCTTGTCTTTACAAGTCATGCATTATAAGATAATGTGAATAAAACACTGTAATGGCACATTGCATGCATCAACATCAAACCTAGCAATAATGGCTGTGCACGTGAGTCGTTTCCCATTTTTCCCACAGAGGGGTTCATATTATAAATTTGCTGTGAAATCTGTTCATTGTTGTGTGATATGAGTGTTAGCTGTTAATCAGTGGTGGGCAGTAAAACGTCTGGTGACATGCATGAGATTCAAGAGAATGAATCGTTATGTTCCAGCAACATTTGGTTAGAAAAGAAGAGCAGAGAAAAAAACAAACATACCACAGCGCCTCTGATGCTGCTACATGGTTTCATATGCTCTCTTCTAAACCTTAGATGTTGACTGCATCTGTGGTTTGCATGACCAGATGGCACCTACCATGTAGAAAGTAGCACATAGCAGAGAAAGAAGATAAAGGACAAAGTCACTTTTTCTCTGTCCGTTCGTGATAACTTTAAGTGATTCTAAACTTTATGCTTGAGTAACTTAAAAAAGCTCCAACATGTGCACTGAACACATCACCCTAAAATTGACACTAACACTGTTCTTTGGAGGTAAGTGCGACATTTATTTCTTATTTTAAAGGAATTTCAAAATGTTTAAGCAATAGAAAATTAAGATTAATGCTTCTGTTCCAGGTGTTCTCTGCAGTAAGTGGAAGGTAGACTATCAACAGCCTCATATGTGTGTAGTGAAAGGATCATCTGTTGTCATTCTTTGTTCATTTTCCTATCCTGACAATCACATAGTACAGGAAGTCATGTGGGGACACAAAAATATTTTTGCAGGTCCGTTCATTTATCACAGTGGCTCAAATAATAGCTCTTCGCGATTTCAGTATGTTGGTAACAAACGGAATAACTGTTCACTGCAAATACACCAAGTGGAGCACAGTGATGAAGGAAAATATGCCTTTAGATTTATAACCAACTCCACAAATGGCCAATGGACTGGAAAAAGTGGGTCAACACTAAAAATCGTTGGTAAGATTTAATTTTGGTTTTCTTTTTAAAGAATTTCGACTCGCCTTTGCTGTTTAATCTGATAAGGTCGAAACATAAGTTATTCATTTCTCTCATAGATTTTAACATTTCCATGACAAAACTCAAAAGACACGAATCAATCCAGGAAGGCGACTCTGTGAATCTTACTTGCACAGACAGATGTGATGTTGGCAACTTCTCATCTGTCTTCACCTGGTTTAAGAATGGAGAATACCTGCAGGATGGACGAGTGCTGCAATTAAGAAATGTTTCCTTCACAAACTCTGGAAACTACACTTGTTCTCTAAAAACAGGCATAGAAACAACTTCAGGAGTCCGACATGTTGATGTTGAATGTGAGTATTGTATAGCGATGTTTTAAACCTTACATACTGCTTAGGCCAAATTTGACCCATTTTGACATTTGACCTGAGCAACAACACCAGAGATGTGATTCTTTCAGCTTGAAATTGGATGACTTTTGCAAAAATGACCCAAACTATTACAAAGTTGAAAGTTTTTCTACAGTTCAGCCATGACAGTGTTATGAGAACTGTTACTGTTCACATCACATTTGCCCAGGTTCCCAGAGACAGGTGCCTGCTGGCTTTTCAATTGTAATGGACTCGTTAAACAGTGAAATAGCAAAACAGCATAGGAGTGATCAAATAGGATGTGCATGATAAGATAATTCAGAGGGTCATAGATGTGCGGCAGATAAAATCTTTGAAATTTACAGAATAAAATGCTTTATAAATGTAAGGTTAAAGCATGAATTGTAGTTAAAAGCATTTTAAATCATTGACTAAATGTTGCAAAATCTAACAGATACACAGTCCTTACTCTCTAAAACTTAAATTAAGAATGAATGATTCATCTACTAATGCCAAGTGGCTGTTTGTGCATTCAAATACTCTGAAGACATATGAGCAGTATGTAAGAGTTAAGCATGGAAACATTGTTCTTTACTGCAACACATTAAATATTTCCTCACAATTTAGATACCAAAATAATGAATCTGATTTATGTAAGATGATTTCACTAATGACTTTATTTTAGATGGCCCCAGGAACACATCAGTTTCTGTCACACCATCAACAGAGACCCTGATCTGCCACAGCCGTGCAAATCCAGCAGTGGAGAACTATACCTGGTTTAAAATATTTAATGATCACATTTCAGCTGCAGGACACCAACATGAACTACATTTGAAGAAGGATTTTCAGGGTGATCACAACTATTTCTGCATGGCTACAAACAAATACGGGAGTCACAACTCCTCTACAGTGCTGTTAAGGGGCAAAGGTAAATAGATTTATGTTCCAAACACTGTGGCTTGTGCAGACACAACTTTGCAAAGAGGAGTCTGCCCTTGGAAACCCTTCCAAACAAACCGTACTTGTTCAGTCTTTTTTACTTTAACGTGCAACATCCATGTTTCCTCAGTGTACTGGTGGACAGGCACCAGAGATCAGATTGCTATCTGTACTTCTATTGCTGCACTCCTCATCGTGGTCACTGTTGTTGCCATCAGAAGGTAAAGTGTATTTCTATTTGTTACAGCTCACACATGCAACAATAAAGTGATGGAAATCTCTTCTTTCAGACAGTGCGCAAAAAGGACAGAGTCACAAGAAAATGAAAATGAGGTAAACATGCAGATGGCGCTACAATTAAGCTTACTGGTTGTGTTGTTTTTTTTCTTAATGCAGAGGTTAGCTCATTATGAGGTTGCCTAATAAGTTAGTTTATTGAAGAAACCCATTTATAGTTTACTCAAGTTATTCGCAAGTTATTTTGTGTTGTCTGACTGAGTACAATTCACCAAGCAGGAAACTTATATATGTGTTCTTTGATGTCTTATTAATTATTGTATCTAGAATACGGACTACTGCAACTATCCCGTGGTTGACATGAGCCAGTCACAAGAGGAAGAAGTCATGCACTCAACGATCGTTTTTAAAAGCAAAACAAAAGCATGCGTGTGAGCTATCCCTGCAGCTTCAACATATTATTCAACTTGTGCTGCATTTTTCACTGATCCACTATGTCATCAGCAGGGAGCAAAAGATGGACTCAACTAATGATGGTGATTGTACCATTTACAGCACACTGTACAGGTAAAGTTCAACAAGAACAAATTTCATAAATCACAGTTCAGCTCCAGACAATAGTGTAGGGCACAAATTGGACAACATCAATCAATCAAACAAACAAAGTGAACAATGGCAAAAATGACTCTGCTGCCATCCTTCTGGTATGCTGTGTCTGAGTCAGTGGAAACCCCCACCCTGAACACAAGCTTTTGTACTGCTGTCTGTTTAGTGGTTTCTACTTATCGCGGTAATGGACCTGCCCAAAATGAAAGCGATGTACCAAAGTGCAGCTATTTGGCTGAAACACCAATTTTGGGTGTTTAAGTCAGATACTTGAACTCAACTTCAATTTTGTCCAGACTCGAGAAAGCTAAACAGCATTTCCTGTTTCGATCCTTATCCCTTGCCTTTCATTGATGAGCTGCTGGAAAGACTAGGAAAGGCCAGATACATCACAACCTTAGATTTGTGTAAATATTACTGGCAAGTGCATTTAGAATACACAGCCTTTCCGATTCCAGGAATAGGTTTATTTCATTGCAGTGTTTTACCCTTTGGTCTCCATGGGGCACCCTTAACTTTTTAAAGGTTAATGGATATAATCGTTAAGCCTACCTGATGTGGTGATTTACAGTGACTCGTGGGAGGAACACCTACAACATCTAAAGGTGGTGATGGCAAAGATCCAGCGAGCTGGTTTGATCTGAGTGACTTTAACCTAACATTTTGCTTGCACATTGGTCCACAAAGGAGTGTTCAGCACTCATTTTACATCATTTAAGACCCACTATAGGGGAGTTGTGGAAAAACTTAGAGCTAACAACTAACACCTAACAACTCGAGATACTTTTTTTTTTTTTTTTAACCCTGATGAGCAGCCACAGTACAGCGTGAAATACTACTACACATAATTGGGTTATTCTGCCCTCTGTTGAAAATGTAAGAGCATAGCATGAGCTTGGGTTCAGATTTTTGACTAATATGACTCAAAGACATTCAAAATAAATCTCTCTTCAGTAGGTGAGTGGGTGTCCTGTGAGAGCTATGGAGAGGCACAGCTCATAACAGGACTAAAGGTCATTCCACAGGCAACACAGGACACTCAGTGTAACAATAAACATATGCAGTTAGAGCATGTTGGCCTTTACTGAGAATTTACTGTAACATGATGGTGTGGATCGGTTTCATTTTTCACTGCATATTCCTTTCTTATCAGCTTATAAATGTTACAAACTAAACAACTGTTTTTTATGACTTTAAATATTTGTTTTCAGCCATCACCCAATGCCTGCAGGAGCCTGCATGTAGACTTCAAATGTCAGCGGAACAAACCTGCTGTGCTGAGGGCCACTTATTCTGATGCATGAAAGGATCTACTGCTCCAGTGCTACTTTCATGAGTGTTTTGCTGTTAAACAAATAAATAAATCTGTCAAATGTGACAGATTGCAGAATTCCATTCAGTTTGAAATGTTTTTTATGAAGTTTCCTAAAAGATTTAAAGCCAGCCTTTTTTCCCTGTCCTTTTCTTAACAGTCTCAAACTTTTACACATTATGGGCACATTTCCAGGAGTTTGTAACTGCAGCATGCTTATTACCTCCTGCTGGTCACAGAGCATGTCTATTGAGCAGTCTGTCCTTGCCTAAAGGCAATAGGAAAGTACAATGTAATGACAAACAAACACCATCACATGGCAACTGACCCCATGTGACCAACCCCATTTTAACTGTTTTTCCTGTACAATTATTGTGTAATATAATCGGTTTTTGTACATTTCAGATGCTGAAATATAAACTCCAGCAAACAAATGAACTTTATTTTTTAGTCACAATCTGTGAAAAAAATAAATAAATAATATTTTTAAGATGTTTAATATGTTGCATCCACAGGTTGTGCCATAAGATACTTTTTCATAAACTTCATTTATGCTAAGAAAAAAATAAGGTGAGTTTAAATCACTTTACAGCACATGCATCCATGCACTAAAGTACCCCTAGAAGAGGTCGTTTGTCTCCAGTAGAGTTTAACTTATGCTTTCATTACCTATGAATGAAAACCAGCTTAGTCAGACATACCCTCTAGGAAAAAGAAACCCCGATTTTATTAGTGATTATAGAAGTAAACTTAGCTCACGCCCATTTCTGACAAAACGAAACTTTAGTAGATACGGAAACGAGGGGACAGCAGGTCTTGGACGTGTCTTTGACGGCTGCGTAGTGGGACCAGCAGAGATGATTTGCAGGCTTTCTCCTTTTTGCAGCACAGAAGAGAAGGTAGGAAGGCAGCTCAGGTCGGCTGTTATTTATTTATTGTTATGAGCATTGGGTGACTGTCACAACGTCAGAATTCCCGTTGTGACACAGTAGGAATAAACTCATCCTAATAACAGAATTAGCTATCAGACTGCGCTGCCTTGGACCAGGTCTGAGTCTGGCTCCAGCTGGGTTACGGGGTAATGAAGTTTGGTTGACGTTCGTTCTTTCTAATAGTATCTCCGTTTATTATGGAGAGTGAATCAGAGCTAACTGCCCAAGCTAATGTTAGCTGCGCAGCTCATTAGGCTGGCTGCTTCGGGGAAGCTAGTTAGCAGAGTCGCTACTTAATTTTAGCAATAGCGCTCTCTGTAGTGTGACTAAGAGCCTTCACTGCTGCTGCTAAGCGTGTCGTGATTCTGCAGGTTTTATTTTGTCAGTGACTTCGTGGCCATTTAGTTCGCTTTCTCTCTGTTTTGTTGTTGTCAAACGCACTGGCACGCAAGAAGTGACGTAAAACGTGTGCGTTTCTTTACGCAGGGAACATGTGAATGGCCGAACTTCTAAGCCAAAGATCTTTTCGCTTCAAGACGAGTCACTCCTTAAGTTCTTGAAAAAGGTCGTCCCGCCTTTATCTGTGAAAGTATGAAAGCTCATCTCCTAGAATGGAATAGTCACTTGTTATTTGCAGTATTTTCAGCAATATAGAGATACGGTTTAAACACACGCGATGGTGTTTACTGTATTTGTTACATTTTATTAAGAAATAAAGAAATCGTTTGAAGTCTAAATCAAATCGCAAAAGACCTAACCGACCTTGATGCTGATTGTTCATTTTCTTTCCTTGCTTATACTAAATTGATTATATTCCTGCAAACTTACTAATTATTGACATCAGTCTCACAAAAAGGCATTATTGGTTGGGCTCTAAAATCAAACTGGGTTGAACCAGTTATATTTCACAGTGTATTTATTTGTATTTGGGTCAGATGTCTTAAACCTTAATAGCCTTTCTCAGTGGATTGAAAACGCCCAAAGCAATTGTTGCATTAAAGTGTAACCAGAAGTCCAATGAAGACCATGCGTTTGACAAAGAGGGAGAGCGATTGCCAGATGAATTATGCAGAAATGAAAGCGAAGTATCCATCGCTGGAATGAATGACTTGATCCCAGCAGATATAAGGATTACCCAATTTTGACTCTTTATTCATGACATTAAAAATCAATCGAAATCAAAGAATAATGGCATAATATTAACTTGGGTGGTTCACGAATTTATGTTATTTTGAGTTATTCAGTCATTCACGTAATATCGCCTTTACATTGCCAGCTAATAAGTAATGTGAAGTATTTATTGAAAGTATGAGGAAAAGGAAGGAGGAAAACCACCTTCTCTGCTTCTACTCTTTGTGAAATGTCCTATATCATTTTTGAACTATTTATGGCATATAAAGAATTACTTATTTCCTCATTAGAACTACTTTTGGTCAGTGTTAACTGAATTTTTCTCTTAAGGACGTGCTATTAAAGTGTGCTGTGAGGGTTCCCAGGTTTTTTTCCCTCTCTTTGGTTAATGTCAGTTTTTTATTGGATGCTTGTTCGTGGGCCATGAATGTGGGCGTTCAGTTGACTCGCTGACTCTCTTGTAAAATGACTTCCAATTCAGTCTCTCACAGGCCAGCTTCTTGGGTATGACTGATCAAAGTTCAGAGGAGATAAAGACAATGAGACTGGTGTGTTGTTGTGTAGCTGAACACAGTTTCATGTGACATCGGCTGCCAAAATAGAAAGTGAAAGAAAATTTTGACATGGTCTTGAAGTGAAAATAGTTTCTTTCTTTGCAGTGATCACTGAAGTCTGAAGATGAAGTGCTCACGCTGTGGCCATAACATTGTAGAGAAAACAGCCAAATTCTGCAGTAACTGTGGCGAAAAGCTGTCTGTTAAACCTGCAAATGCACAAGGTAAGTAGATGAGGTCAGAAATGTGGTTTCATTTTATATAGTTGTTTATAATATTTGAAGAAGTCCAAGTGACAACTTTGTTGTTCCTGTTAATTTGGCATAATGTACTGTATTATTTAAACTGCTCTGTATTTGATTAACAGTGTGGATGCTTTTTTTCAGGGCCTGTCAACAAATAAAATTATAGTTTGAACATGCAGCTCTGCAGACATAATGAAATTACACTTTTCTGTAAATATAGATTAAAAACCTGTATACAAGGAATTTAATCATGTAAAATTATGTGATGATAAGGGCTGTTCATCTGCGCATAACTTATATTGCACATTTTTTCCTGACATGAGGATTTACATTAGTCATGTTGCACATGTCAAAGCAAAATTAGGTACGGCTTGCATAATGTGGGGGGAAAAAAAAGAGATTGTAGATACATCTGTGTTATCAGTTCGTACTAAGCCTTTAGTCAAGGAAAACTAAGACTAAAGGTCATTATTATATCCTAAAAATCAATCCAGCATCCAGTATTTGGAAAGTTTAGATTCCTTGCATGTATTCTTTCATTTCTCATTCCTGTTTCTTAATTTTTTTTAACTCAAAAAACCCCACACTTCTAAATTGTGGCATAAGGCCTTCTTGGCTGAACTGGAGAAAATGATCCGTGCTCTTGTGTCATTACGTGTTACTGTAATGCCCTGTTTCACGGCAGGGATAAACCTGTTTTGTCTCTGAGGTAAACAAAAATGCAGCTGCCAGACTAGTAATGGATTCTAACAAGTGAGCTCATATTATTCTTGCTCTTTACACTGGCTCTCAGTAGACTTTGATTCATTTTAAAGTTCTTGTACTGATCTACAGAGCACTTAACAGAAAGGCTCCAGACTATTAATCCCAGCTTCTTACCAAACA